CGGAGAGAGCCCAGCCTGCCGTCTCCTGGTTAGTCAAAAGTTGCTTTGTGAAGATGTGTCTGTTCCGTGGAGTGACAACTAAAGCAATCCCCAAGTCGCCCTTCCCTGCTCCCTCGGCCTCCCCCTTGTCCCTGTGCTTCTGGAGAAACCAACCCCCTTTTACATTCACACACACACCTTATTTTTCTCTTCACAAATCGAAGAGTTGTTTATGTGCACTCATCACTTCAGAAGCCCAAGGACTAGGTACTCTCTCTTGCAAAACCTGATCTCCATGCTTAATTAAAACCACCGTGAATAATCCCATCCTCTACGTAAACGTGTGAACAACGGCGCCCAGACAGAAACTAGCAGAGGGCACAGCAGTCAGGCCCGGACAAGTGAAAGGGGTACCGGGGACCTGTCGGCGGCTTTTTACCCGTTCAGCAAGCCGTGGCGCTGGTAATCAGTGCAGTTCCGTGTAGAGAGCCATGAATACGCAGCCTCTCAACCCTTGCTACAAAAAAAAAAATTAATTAGGATGACAAATTAATCAAATAAATAGGTCTACAGAATGTCAAACATAGCAGATAACTTATACTTAATCACAAAAGAACAACCATTAACGAGACTGTGTTTTCTCTTAATTTACCACTGTTTCTGAGATTAAGAATTCATCAGCTCTGTTGTAATTGTCTTGCTCTTTAATCTTAGATGTGCTTATGTGTAAAGCAAAGCAGAACACCTGTGGGTTTAAGAAATATATCTGATGTATAAGAATAAATTTTCAAAATCTTTTCAACACATATTCATAGAACCATAGAATCATAGGATAGTTAGAATAGAATATTCAGGTAGGATACTGGAGGTTAATACCAATAAGCTTTATCCATTTTAGTTTATAGCAGACCCTTCTAGTGCAGCCTTTTTGCACATTCCCTTAAACAAGCAAACAAACAAGCAGTTCAAGTGTTGCTAAAAAACTGACTACAGAAATTATTTTCTAAAAGATGATACTGAAGAGCTTATGCCAAGTAAAAGCAGGAATAAAATCCTGGCCTTGGTGAAATCTGTGGGAATTTGGGGGGGGGGGGTTTGGGGGAGGAGGGTGTTATCACCCTGTATACCAGGTGAACTAGATTAGACCAGACTTTTGTGCAGATTTGGTCAAGTTACTAGTAAAGCTATTGCTCTTTGTTAAAGTGGGAGAAAATGGAAGAGGGATGTTTCTGCATGCTGTCTGAGAATACCATTATTTTCCTTGACGCTTGGTTGGATTGCCCAAATATCCCCAAGATCTGCTGGAGCTGCTGAGAGGGCTATTGAGCTTTTGGCCTTTACTAGAAGGGGTAGGGGGGTAGTCTTAAAGAAGGACTGCCTCTCTCTCAGCTGTTTGTCAGCAGTATTGTTACATGAGAATAAGAACTTTCAAAATCTGTTTTCATCTGCTTCTGTATTTTTTATCATAAATTAGCATATTATAAAGTTATAGTAAATTTTAAAATATTAAACACTTGAATGACTTAAGTTTACATGCTGCTAAGATAAATAATAAATCCTCCAAGTCCTCTCCGTATAAGAAAAGCCTAAATGAGGGCAACTCAATTTTTTTCATTTGCTGTCTGCTTCTCAGTCTTATGGAGGTTCATAGTTTCAGATTTATGTTTCTCATAGACATACTATAAAAACTTTGTATGCTGAAAAAAAGGAAAGAATTAGAATAATCAGCTGAAGCATGCAGATAAAAGTACCAGCAACACGCTAGGTCCCACAGTCCTAATTTGCAATGCTCTGTGCAGTTTTGTGGCAGTTTTGCAGTGTACACTGGGAGGTTAGCTCGCAGTCACTGTATTTGGTGCCTCTTGTGCTCAACAGTAAAAATCAAACCATGCCCTCCAAGGAGGGCTGTATGCATTGTCCCTCTTGTATTAAAAGAGATAATCAGGACATAGCTATACCTTGCCATAATTGTGTGTGAAAGCACGGGCAAAACATTTTATTGCATTTTAAAAAACCCTCAGATGAAAGCTAATAAATGAATCCTATAAGGATTAATGACATGCTGGAGAGGCATTCATAGCAGAGAAGTATATGCATTCACTGTCATTTATAAAGCATAAGTAAAACTGAAAGAACAGCTTCTTCAAGGCTTTCTGAGGTTATCAGCTGTGTTTACTTGGAACATGGTGCCTGTGATAAGTTTCCATTTCTCTTATGTGCTTTTATCTGCACCATTCTTGCGCATTATCTCACCTCTCTCAGGTATTCATCTTGCAGTGGCATAAACAGCAGTGGTTCCATAGAAATCAATGTGAATGCTTTCACTTTCACTAGCCAAGGATGCAGCCTTATATTTTTCTCTTCCTTTGTAGCTTCAGCATCCCTTATTATAACATCAATCATTCAGGAAAGAAGGATGGGAAGATTCTCCCTGTTCATTGTATTCTACCATTATACTGCTTAAAAGTGCTCACTCTCATTCACACATTCAGTTAAGATTGCTTTTTCTTTTTTTCTTTTTTCATTTTTGCATCAACTCAGTGTTTTCAACCTACGCATTTCCTGGGCTTATTGCAATCTGATTATGAAAAGCAGAGTTTTTAGCATTTTTTTTTTTTGCTTTGCCTATTTTAACATGTTGTTAGCTATTCTGCTTTGATAGGTACAGGCACCTCTCAATCACACTGCAAACATTCAGTGCTAGACTGGCACAACACCTGCTTTTGTATTTAAGAGTCGGGGAAGAATCTTTGCTTCCTTTGGGAAAAAGAAACTGGTAAGTAATTGCAGCATCCATGAGAGTGAGGAGAATATCTCTGTATCCTCTTCCAGGAAGAAAAAAATAAAGTGAGTTTTCCTGATAGCTGATTAGGGCTTAAGAATGTGAATAACATTACTATTAGCAATTTGGCTGAGACATTAGCTTTAGTATTGTCAAATCAAGGTGCTAGAGTTACGAGTTTCGAGTGCTGCCCAGCTGGCAACTGCCTTTGACTTTGCTAGTTCAAAGGAGGAGCACAGCATTATAATTGAATCACTAAAGAGTCATGCAAAACTCAGATATGAAGCAGAGAGGTAGCTTCTTTGCTAAACAGGGAAATGCAGTAACTTTCCAGAGAAAAGGAGCTGCACTTTTAAACAAGCCTTTGTTTCTTCCCCTGTTCCCCTGGCTGGGAGAACCTCAAGTCTCACTGCTTAGCTTGATTTCCACGGGCAAGTGCTGAGGTTCCCTTCCTGGCTGAGTCACATCCAGTAGGCATCTGCCAAATTCCCTGTCACTCTGTTCAGGGTGCTATATGCAAATGCATGAGTTTGCATAACTGTGATTAATTAGAGTATGTCTATACTCTGGCTCTGAGAACTGTGTGGTTAATGCTAGTGAAGTTTTGTTCAGTGAAACTTTCTGCTTATCTTTAGGACAGTGGTATGATAAGCCTCTCACATGCACTGCCTTACGCCTATGCCTATATGTATGTTTAGGGAAAGGTTCTGTGGGGGTGAAGAGAGTTCAGATTCATGGTGTGGAAGTCACTTTGTGATGTGGAAACTGAAGCTCAGTCCCATTATCTCACATTGTGATAAAGTGGTTCACTGAGTCTGAGGAGGGGATAAATCAAAGAGAAACATTTCAGCAAGCAAAGCAGCATGAAAAACTAATAAAGCTGGAGGTTAAACAAAAAAGTTTAGTCCAAACCAGTGGTGATTCTAATTTAAGCTCTGTAATGAATTTAAAAGAATTGAATAGTTTTTTTTAAATGGAACATCCTTTCAAAATAAGAAACCAAAAAGTTCCAGCTAAAGTTCAGTTACTGGAGCTAGAGATGCTTCAAACATATTCTTCCAATGAATCTGCCTTTGCAGCATCATTGGAACAGGCACCAGCAAAGCTGCACCAAACAATGCAGTTGCCTGCTTGTGATTGGGAGCTTCAAGGACGTTACTCAACTTCAAAAACTACGAGGCAGCAAAGCCCAAAACAGGGCCTGGGAGTTCCAGACATATGGCCAGTACAGTGATAGATATGGGACCCGGGAACAGAAGAACCACCAAAAGGAATGCTTGTGACAGGGCCAAATTTAACAGACAAGTTTGTATTTCAGTAGAGCTGTAGTGACCAGGCTAAGTCAAAGCCATAGGAGAACTGAAAGAGGCAATGGAAGAGAAAGCAAGCATGGAAATAAAAGTGAGAAAGGAAAAAAAAAACAAAAAACAAAAAACCCCAAACAATTTTGCCAGCAATATTTCTCTGCTGTTGTGATGGAAACCTTGATATATATGGACACAAATTTTTGTGTGATGAACTGTATGTGCATAGCACCCAAGCCTTTTATCATGGATGGCCACAGGGAAGATGGGATGGGCTAAGGAGAGAAACAGAGGCCAGATGTATCCATTAGGTCTCATTCTGCCAGGGCAGTGGGCTTCAACATAGGACAGTATTCAGAATGGACACATTTCTTGGTGGGTATGTTGGTACTAGAAGTCACTGAAGTAGTCAATTTAAAGAAAGCTGGGGGAGGCTTTTAAATAGAACAAAAGATTTTCAGCTAAAATTAATCCCCCAAAAGTTTCAAACATAGCTTTTCAGTAGCCACATTTTCCAAGAAAGCAGCCTTTATTAGGATCTGCAGAAGTATATATACCAAACAATTCCCCACTAAAGCTCTTACTCATCATCTGGAGCTGGTAGGAGGGCCTGACTAATTACTATGGCCCATACAGTTGTGAGTAGTTAACTTTCTTTAACCAGTCGAGACCAAAGAACAAAATCAGCTGCTGGGCACAGCAGGGGAAGGCAGACAAGGGTTAGGAGTGGTGTTACAAAAAGTAATTGGGTTGGGATTAGGTTTTAGGTCAGCAAGCCTGGGCAAACTTTAATGCTAGAATGATCTTAACAAGGGCTTAGCTAAGGCAACTGACACAGGAGTAGCTGTGGCACAGACCTTCTGTAGAGGGTCAATGCCTGGTGTTAATGATGGTTATGGGGGTGGGGGAATTGTGCAGCTGCAACCAATGGCAAAAATTTGGGAGTTAAGTCTTGAGAACAGCTAGCACATTTTTGCACAGTGGTGACAGTAGCATAACAATCTGCTGCAAATCCATGAGCTCGTTGCCAATTGGCCTTTTCCCAACTTGCTTGCAGATGAAACCACACCACAGACTCCTCTAGCAGTTTATGGCCAAGAAGACCTCTATTGCTTGGATTACCACAGTTTGGTCCATAATGGGCATCAAGACTTCAAGGTGCAGCTCATATGCAGTGTTGTTCCTTCTAACACCTGAAGAAATAATACTGTTGAACTGGCTCCCTTCCAGCATAAGGACAGAATACAGAACTTTGTCTTCTTCCCTACCGTATAGAGAATTTAAAGGCTCAAATAAACACAGGCCACTTTGAAAGAGCCTTTCTGAATTCCGAAGAGGATGAATTTTTAGTGGTGAAGGAGCCCTGTTTTTGGGTCCTCTTTGACTTCAGTTACTCTGTTCATATGACCTCTGCATGTGCTTCCTAAATGATTGCCCCATCAGAACCTCACGTAGGAGCAGGATGTGAGTACCCCGAAACTTGCTTCAAAAACACACCAATCTGTGTCCCTAGCATGGGCATTCCATAATCCAAGATGGGCAAGCAGGGACCAGTTAAAACTCATCACAAAGGCCACAGCCTGTGCAGGCAGAGAATGGAATTTGCCAGAAACATTCTTTTAGGCAGTGATTCCATTGAACTGAACTATATCACCTGCAGTACAGAACTGATCTGGCTACAAAGAAATGAGAAATACAGTTACTTAGAAGCTGTGTTGTCTTAGATTTCACCTTATTTCCTGTGTTGTGATGGAGCATCTTAAAATGCATGATAAAGATTCAGCATGTAGGAATGCAAAGCAGATTTGCAAAATGCCACTGTGACTTGTCCTGATAGCAAGCTTAAAGAGGGGATATACCTTCAAAGAACAGTGTAACCTAGCAAGTTTTCTTCCTTCTAGTCACTGTGGCAATACCTCCTTTTCCAGGGAAGTCTTCAAGAAGGGCAAAACTTTCCAGGAGCAGTTGGAGGCTAAAGCAGATGAATGTCTCTTTTTATTTTTTTGAAGCAATCCCTAGTTGGGTATTGCAGTTTGAAAATCTTTCTGTAGTGGTTTCTATCTCTTAGAAACACAAGAATTATTCCTACAAAGGTAGATATACCCACCTGCCAGGCAATGGGCTTGCCCCAAGCAATAAGTCCTGCCTTCTGACAGCTTCTATTCTGCAGTAAGGTTTCCCTCTGATTTGTCCCTGCGACTGTACTCCAATCTACCCTTCAACACCTTAGGCTCTATATAAACATCCAGATGTGATTCTTTGTGGCTTCCATGTACACCATGGAGCCTTGCTGTGGGCCTAATGAGAAATGGTAAACAAGAGTCCAGTGAAGGGTAGCACTTGATGATTTTTCATGTAAAAAATCCACCCCAGCTAAGTGTTTATCATGAAACTTTGATCTCAAAGATTTAGCTCCCCCTGTGGAGCAAAAGCAGATGCTTGGTAAACTGTAGCTGTAGTCCTGACAACCCTTTCAAGCGTCTAGACAGAGAGAAGAGGTGATTACATCCTCTTTTAAATTCTACTGCAACAATTACGTGCTGAACGTGTTCACCTCAGGATGACCCTATTTACACTGTTTTGTTTCATGGTACGGCAAGCATCTAATACTATTGAAAGATGGAGGATGATAATGTGGTTTGGGATTAAAAAAAAAATAAAAAAATCCCACTTTTATTAACAGTAAAAAATCTGACATATGTGCTAGGTCACATATGGTCCTTCCATAGACTTTAGCCTGGACCTAGATATTAAGGAGTTTCAAAGTACACATTTACAGCTAATGTGTCTCATGTAAGAGTTTTGAAAACATTAACACTTCCAGAAAAGCTATTTAATTAATTCTAATTGAAGAACACATATAAATCTCAGAGGTAAGCCCATGAAACATCCATTTACTTTATACAATATACTGAGCAGGGGAAGAGAAGCAAAGTTATTGTAGTCGTAACTGATGAAGAGCAATTTTAGCGTAATCTTACAAGAGAATAGACTTCAGAGGTCTGAAAAGAGAAGGAAAGGAGATTCCAGCTTAAGTAGCATCCTCAAAATAGATATAAATAGATATAAATTCAAAAGTTTCTCCAAAAGATTGTTGGAGCAATCCCAGGCACAGCTACAGGTTGGGCAGAGAAGCAATTCAGAGCAGCCCTGTGGAGAAGGACTTGGGGGTGTTGGTTGATGAGAAAATGAATATGGGCTGTCAGTGTGCGCTTGCAGCCCAGAAAGCCAACCGTATCCTGGGCTGCATCAAAAGGAGCGTGACCAGCAGGTTGAAGGAGGCGATCCTGCCCCTCTACTCTGCTCTCGTGACACCTCACTTGGAGTGTTGCGTGCAGTTCTGGTGTCCTCAACATAAAAAGGACATGGAACTGTTGGAACAATTCCAGAGAAGGGCCACGAGGATGATCAGGGGACTGGAGCACCTCCCGCATGAAGATAGGCTGAGAGGGTTGGGGCTGTTCAGCCTGGAGAAGAGAAGGCTGTGTGGAGACCTCATAGCAGCCTTCTAGTATCTGAAAGGGGGCCTACAAGGGTGCTGGAGAGGGACTCTTCATTAGAGACTGTAGGGATAGGACAAGGGGTAATGGGTTAAAACTTAAACAGGGGAAGTTTAGGTTGGATATAAGGAGGAAATTCTTTCCTGTTAGGGTGATGAGGCACTGGAATGGGTTGCCCAGGGAGATTGTGAATGCTCCATCCCTGGCAGTGTTCAAGACCAGGTTGGACGAGGCCTTGGGCGATATGATTTAGCATAAGGGGTCCCTGCCCACGGCAGGGGGGTTGGAACTAGATGATCTTAAGGTCCTTTCCAACCCTAACTATTCTATGATTCTATGATTCCAAGACAAACCAGCCATGAAAACAGGATATGATAACATGCCAGGTTTGCTGCACACCAACCAAGTCACTGGAGGAAATATGGAAGAGCTTTACAGGTAACGTGTTTCAGGACACAGTAACTGTTTTTCCATATTGTAATTATGAACCTAAACATTTTATTTTAGGTAGAATAAAACTTTTGATTTTCTTCTTAATCTGTTGTGTTTAAAATGAGCACAGGTACTTCTCTGTTTCTCCCTGTGGGAAGCCAAAAAACTGGTGCAGCTGAAGAACCCTTTGGGTAACTGAAAACTTGGAAAAGTTTAGGAATCTCAGAAAATGTATATAGTTCAATGCCAAATTATGTCTGGCTATTACCTCCAAAAGCTAGATTTTAAAACAAAGCTCTAAGTAAATGTAAACCACTCTTACCTTTGGCAATGGCAAGCAATTGCCATCTTCAGGAAAACCGTACCATGGTATGCTCTTATTCTTGTTATATAGTCAATTGTCCAGGTCAAAATACCTGCTCCTGCAAAAATTTTGAGGTTACTGTTGCCAAAATGGTGTCTAAAGTTTGATTCAGAAGTGTTTTGTGGACTACTTTGTCAGCTTCTCTTTCTCCAAACATTATTTTTGAACAGTCTTATTTCATGTGATCAGGAAAAACAATTTCACTGTATTGTTTGTATGATGCCACTAAGCAAAGTCTTCTTAAATCAGTAGGACTTGTCATTTTTGAGGGACTAGTTGCAGAACTTCTGGATGCATTTTAATGCTTGGTTACAGTTTGTTGCATTTATTTCATTCACATAATTCTGAAGTTGTCAAGGAGATTGCCAGTATGGTCATATCACCAATTCAGATTGGATTTCCAAAAAATAAGTGAGTAGTAAAAACATACAAATGATATGTATACACTCAGTAAATTTAAGGATCTTTGAGACTGATCTCTCAGTTTTATATTTCGTCATGAAGTCTGATCTGATTTGCCCAACTGCAACTGTCAAAGTTACTCTGCTAACATCAAGAATTAGGTCCATCTATTTGTAGTGCAGAATCAATATTGTGTATAGAAGACAGATAACGCATATGCAGATTGTAAACCAAAAGGTTTTTTAAATAAAAATGGCATCTTAAGCTGACAGCATTTGAATTCTATTAAAAAAAATAATAATTAGAAAAGCTAGATTTTGTTCAGTTTGGAAGCACTTAGTGAATTTTTAGGGAGAGATGACACATGAAAATGTTTAAATCTGTTTAACTCATGAAGTCATAACTCACAGTTTCTCCTCAACCCATGCTGTTGTGTTGCCATCAAGTAGCTATCTAATAATGAAGGATGTAAATGATGCCAAAAAAAGAAAAAATAATTTGTGTTCCCTTCAATAGTAAGTCTATACAGCTAATACCTTTGCACAGAGCCTGAGGATTTTATATTAAATTAATCTCATTAGGCATTTTGGCAGCCCTAAATTTCCACATTATAGAATGTGCCATAAAGAAGAAAAAAGAAGAAACTTCTCTGCTTTATAATCTATCGTCCATTTCTTCGCACCCTTATTTTGTCTTTGCATCTTCCCTTACCTATTTATTTCTTTGCTCATGAAGAATGGTGCTTTGGAGCAAGAAAGTTATAAACCGTAGACTGTGCAAATAAATCTACATCAAACATGCTTTTAAGACTTACAATCTCTTTATCATTCAAGTGAATTGTTTTTTTAGAGGTTTGACAGTAGAGTAGTTCTGTCCAAATATTTTTCAAAGCACTTTAACTACTTTTTTATTATTCTTATACTTCTTGAGGTTTGGATATATCTGCAAAAAAGAAAAAAATGTTTAGGAAAGACAACAGCAGAACAGCATGTTTTTCTAATTCAGCATTTTGTTCAACGCTGTTACTCATACCAATTCATATAGCTAACAGTTTCAGTGACTGTTTCTTTCAGTCATGGAAACATAAATAATAAGTTTCATATTCCTGATTTATCTGCATTCTTTGTAAGGTCAGTTAAATTGGTCTGAATAAGAATTAAGTGTGCAGGACCACAGGGAGAGAGGTTCTTGGCTAGCATCAGTCACATGGCACTGCAGTTTCAACACTGCTAAGGTAATTTAGCCAAGTTAGACCACTGAGCGAGTGTGTATACAATAATAGCAAGTTACAGTATAAAAGGATATGCAACCAATCATTTTGTCTGTGCAAGTTCATGACAACAATTGTAGAATATTTTTACTTTCTTCTATGGATGAACAAGGGCTTAAAGACAGGTCCTTCTCTTGGTTATATGGAAATACAGCACTGCATGCTTATAGCTTTTTGTCTTTTTTTTTTTTTACTTTTCATGTTTTCATCAGTACATTTTCTCCATGCCAGTAACCATAGTCCAAGTTTGTGAGGTGATCATTCCTATCTGGTTTGCTTCTCCAGTTATTGACCCTCTTGGATTGAGTTCATCTGGACAGACCCATTTAAGTCCGACTCATATTTCAGGAGTCACATGATAAAAGGTAAGAAAATTAAAAGCAGCCTGTAGAAATGACACATTGAAAAATGGATGTGATGCTTTTAAGTCCCTTTCCTGCTTTTTGACAGTTGTGGTTTGGGGACAGATACCGATTTTCAAAGAGGAAGCTGTTCTAACATGTTGCCTTTTTTTTCTTTTCTCATCCACTAAACTGCATTTTAAAGACATTAAATCTGCTTTTGTCTTCCAACTTACAACAAAATAATAAACAAAAATTGACATTTTACTTTCCTTTCTAAAATGGCAGGTATTTCTAAGCTTCAAAATTAGATTTTTAAAAGTTTTAATGTATATATATATAGTCCTACTTTCCACTTCCCTACATAAATTTCCTTACTGTCTACCTGCAAGTTATAGAAAGCATATTTTCCCAATACAAACATTCACAGTTTTTCCCAGTGCCTGCAAAATATGACGCAATTGTAATTAAAAGACAGCAAAGCTCATGCATGGGAAGGTAAGGGTAAATATGTTCCCTAAGATAAGTGGAAAGAAATACAGTTACAAGTGGTCTCATTAGCCTGGTTTATCAAGGTTTTCAAGCAGATGAGACTTCTTAGTAGGACAGGAAACAGCTCCAGAAGTTACAGCGCAAGCTTGTCATTCAGAGGAACTGTGCTCAGGTCCTGCTTTATCACTGTCTTTGTGATCCACCAGGAAAGCAGATCCCCCCTGCCAAATTAAGAAAATATCCTGTCCTTACCTTACAAAGGTGTTGTGAGGGCCACACAGGGAAGGCTATGAGGTCTGATGCCGCGTTGGTAAGGACAGCAATGCAATAGATGGTGCTGTTCCCACACCTCAGAACCTGGGTGACCTGTAGGCTGTCAAGCTGCAGGTCATGTGCTGAGGATGTTTTAGTATTTTTTCCTATGATGTTCACACAAAGAGCAGGATTATTAAAATACTTCCCCCACCTTCCTCAAGTAGTATTCAGCTTCCCTGCTTTATTTGTTTCCATAACATTATCTCTCCCTAGAGTAGTTTTCTTCTACTAAATCAGGTCATTATTCATCTGACTCTCCACACATTGCCATCTCCCTAAAGCAAGTAGAAGCAGATCGTTCATTCCATTCAAGCATGGAAAAACATTTTCAAAATGCTAGTCTTAACTGCTGTGCCTTGGAATCAGTTTAGTAATTTGAATCAAATCCTTTGTTCAGAAGACAAAAGAACCAGCAAAGAGGATAATGGATTTTCCACTCTCATATCTTATCTGGAAGTTATCTAAAGGCTGCTTTGATGAGTGAGAATCGGTGGTGTGACCAATACAACATCATTATATTGCTAAAACATGTAAAAAAAACAAAGATACCAGGATCACAAGGAATACTGTTGCAGAGCATCCAAGCTGGATACCAACAGTGAAGAAAATTCTGGTATCTCACCCATTATATATATATCTCCCATTGATATATTAAAAAAAAAAATTCTAGTAGGAGTGAGGTATTAGAAGTTTTTAAACAGAACAACTTCCTGTTGATGAGGACAGAGTTAGATATTTTTAGCATGGTATAAGTGATTAATTAGGTGAGCATAGACATAGAATATTTAGACAGAAACTTTATTACATAGTTGTCTTGTGGCAAATCTAATATGTGTATATCTGTCAAAAGAGCTAGATATAACCCTTGACAACAGAGATAACACAAGGTAAAATACTGCCCTCAGCTCTGCTGATAGCTGCCTCTGGCCAACCGTTTCCTGGACAGTTACAACAGAAATCTTGGTTTGCCTTTAATGCTACTCTCCATTCCATTTGCAATACTTTATGTAGCTTTTAAAGACTTCTCTGTACTAAGAAAGTTTAATATTTCCAGTAATTTGTCAGACAAAGTGCTTGCCAAATGCTTAGCAAGAATTTTGGCATCATCTTTGTATTCCTCCTCCTGATTGAAGAAACTGTGATGTATAATACAGGGTATTTAATTCAGAACTGCCAAAGGACAAAATAATATTTACTGGTGTGTCGTATTTGCTCTGTGCTCTGAGTGTTTTGTCTTCCATCTGAGATATCCACATCTCTCACACCTCTCTCAAAATCTTTGCAGTACCAAGAGGAGTAAGTGGGTATTTATGAGAAGTGTCTTGTGGATTTTATGTTCTTGGTTGTGGTAGATAGGTTTTGCCCTGAAACCAGTCATTGTTCTTAAAGGCTGCTATAGTGGTTACTTAAGAACAAGAAATGTAAGCTAATGCATAAGAAAAAAAAAAACAGGAAATAGACTGTAGTAAAAACTCCAGGAAGTATTCATGGGCAAGAGGGTCAACAGAAGTTAAGCACTGACCCTGAAGTAATAGTACATTACGGTTTTCAATTCAAACATACCAAGTACAAAGAAACAAATTAATTTTTTGAAAGCTTTGAAAATTAAACCAGCCATAGTAAAAGTGGTTTATTACACATCAGCAAGAAAATGTAAACCCTGACATAAAAGCTGTTTGGGTAAAAACAAATGTCACCACAGACACAGAAGGCTTAATTCAGGTGATGCCTCCCTAGGGCTGATGCTTCCCTAATGGGTTCACTGCTTCAACTGGCAGCAGAATTTGGCCTAGCCTTGGGGACCAGTACAGTGTGACACTACAGAACTGTCTGTCTGTTGGTCAAGAGGGAGTTGAGGAAAGAGTTCTGAAGTGAAATAGAAGAAAAGATGGATTGAACATTTTCTACTTAAAAAAATAAAAATTAAAAGCCCCATTTCAATCTAATCACACTTTAACCTCAGGATAGGGCGCCAAAAGCCAACATTCATTTCTAAGGCATACCCCATAGCATCTGCACAGCAGCCCCTCGCTACCTGTACAGACAACATATAACACCTACCTCCGAGTAACGTAAAACCAGGGGTGGATTAATACTGCATTATCAGTCCTTTAAATTCAGAGCCACCATTTCCCCTTTTGCAGGGAGATCCAGACTTGATTGACTCTCTTGCAGGCTGCAGCATGTGTTAACTTGCTGATGCCTCCTGCCATGAGCAAAGCCCCTCTCCCCACCAAGCTGTTCCAACCACTCCAGAGGCACCTGCAGTATCATCATCGGTTATCTATGCACAAGCTGATTTACAGGCGCTTGTAGCAGCTGCCCCTCATTAGCTACTTGGTGGAGGAGTAAGGGGTGGGGGGGGGGGGAAGAGAGGAGAACAGATTGGGGTATTATTAGTCCTTCCTGGGTGACTGCTGTGGGGTGAAATGTATATTCACCACAGCCTTTGGTAGTTTCAGCTAGTTTAACTGGGGGAAGAAGTTCCTAATTGTCAGATAGAAGCAGGTTGAAAAGTTATATCATCTCAATTATATTCTGCATAAAGACCTTCCTGTGGCTGAAATTATTAAGGTAGCAGGAACAGAAATCTTGTGACTGACCTGCATTGGTACTGGTCAGATGTAATCATCTTCCTGCATTTGCAACTCACAAAGAAATGTGTTTGACCTTCAGGGAGAAAGGTGTGGTAAAGGTATTTGATGAAGAAAATCTCAACTATCAGGTTTATTTTTATTTTTTAATCATTGCTCAGAAATATCAATGCTAAATGAACTCATTCTACTTTTTGATTGATTGCTGTGGTTATGAAAACAAAACAATTTCCTCACATCTTGTTTCTGAATTGATCGTGTACTAAAAAAGCTGTCAGTAAAGTAATTGCATTTTTTAATGTATAAAGCACGTGCAAATTTGTGTTTTATTGGTGCAAGTTCTTGTGTGTGTATTCTATGTTTAGACACAAAACGAGAAGAAAATGTCCGTCAGACAAATCATCTGTATTCTGGGCATATGAAGATATATTTAGGTTTTAATAAGGACCTAAAATGCATTATTCGGATGGAATTATTTAATAAAAAACCTGTGCTGAGGATTGTTCTTTATACAGTAACATGCAATTAGGTTCTAATCCCATCCTTCACCTTTATTAAATAACGTACAGCACAAGAATAAAAAATAATAAAATGTCTGGTGGTCAGGACTGAAAGTGAATAAAGGTGTATATTAGATACTGTAATAAAGTCTTCTATTAGAAATGTTGCTAGCACAGTATCTCAAATGACATTTAAAAAATATATATCCAGATGCCAAATATAGCCTTGTCTGCCCTGGCTATAGACAGATCTTTAGTCTTAGCAGACAAAAATAAGCACTCCAAGATTTGGTGGATTTTATACAACAGGTTGAATTAACCCTGCATAGTAAGACACACTGCACATCCAGTCTTCTAACAGAAAAGGCATAAACAAGTGTAGGCTGTATTCTCATTTCCAGATGGCAGCATCCTTGCACATGCTACTTGTTATTTATTCTAGCAAAAAAAGACATTTGCACCTTTAAGTTTCAAAACTTTTTTGGGAAAAAAATCCTTTTCAATTTATTACTATAAGATAAATCTTACAGTATACCTGAGTATACCTGTTGATGTCAGCTGAGGACAGCAGTTTTATAAACTATGAGAACCAAGGTGAAGTGATTTCTTACTGGTTTGTGGTCCTCAGCAGGTACTGGGCTTCAAGGAGCCAGAGCAAAGCACTGTGGTCACTGCTTCACTGTGTAGCAAGTACAGCTCCTAGGTCATGGTCAGTTCCACCAGGACCCAAGACATATTGAAAATGAAAGAAAAAGCTTGTCAATCACTAGCCCAGACCATGTCAACTCCTTACCCACAGTGTTCTTGTGCGAACTGCTGCTTTAACTGCTCAGACCTTTTGTGCTTAAGGCAGTTAAGAAGTAAATCACAGCAATGAAATTTAAGGATGTATTCCAGTAAAGCTTAAGCACGTACGCTCAGCAGATGTCTTAAAGTTAATCGTGTGCTTAAAAACTTCATTGAACTTTCTTTCCCCTTGAACGAAACTAGTCTGAATGGGGTCGTTTACTGTAGTTACATCTCTCACTTCATAACTAAAACTTCTGCTTCCCACCATTTTATGGATATTAAAGAGAAGCTGATAGGCACTCCAAATTTTAGGGGATTTAGACTGGCCAATATTTATCTATTACTATTTAGCAAAAGCTGTTTTCATAGAAGAACAGTTCAGAATTTTGTGTTTCTGAGAAGGTATGTTAATATTTTGGCACTCTCGTTACATAACACCTTTTAATACAAAAATAAGAATGGGAGCCATATGATCATATACATTGTGTAATCACTAGTATATGATGTATTTTTTACACAGAGTTTTTGACAACTTATGATGACCCTAATCACACACACACTATAGCTGCGCATGTCTTAAACTGCCTGTATAATCTTGATTTTGATGTGACTGGTCTGGAATTACTGATGCATGTAAAATGAAGCACACATTTATACTTTGTTGGAATGTGATCAAGGGAAGGCTTGTTAAGAGAATTAATTGACATCTTTTTGTTATCTTCAGAACTCGTATAGCTATTCTTTTTTGATCAATCATAAATACATTGTGCAGAAATACACAACAGACTGGGTCATTGAATGTGTAATTACATGTTGCACATAACTTCAGGACCTATTTCTATTGTTTTTTAAGGGCTGCTGTTAGTGTTTAACAGCAACAATATGCAGCATTACTTTCTATCAAGAAATTATATTGAAACTGTCATAACAAAAAGATTACCTGAAAATAAATTTAATTAAATGTTAGCCAAACTGATTTTTTTAAATTATCTGCAACTTAAACACACCCCAAATATAATGTAGAATGTTGTATAAAACATTTGTACATAATACTTAAAATGTATAAATATAAAGAACAAAAGATAGTCATGTATTATTCATATATGAAAATTAAAACAAGCTCCTTTAAAATTTAAATTCTGAGCACATTGTTGAAGGAATTAATTTCACATGGAGCTGTTAAATATATACAGGTAGAATATATCCTATGAAACATCACTGCCTAATTTTTTTTCTAGACAAGGTATCTTTGGCAGTAATGGTTTTATTTTTTTGTTTTTTTTTTTATTTTGAAATTTAATTATGATTGTTAAGGTTAAAAGTTTCCAGTGTGCAATACAACATCCTTCAACACAGCTCAGATAAAATATTTGGGGCATTTCCTTTGGGCAGTTTGCCATTGTTCTATTGGATTGGAAGTTACAGTAATTTGACTGGTATGTCTATTAATCTGTTTTTTTCCCTTAGGTATTGAAAGCAAGTATTGTTGTGTCTGTACTGCAGCTGGAGTGATTTTTCAATTGAAAACTTGCACATTTGCTTTCTGCTTACACAATAATCTATTTTGATACAGAATTCTGTTGACTGCTGCAGAAAGTAGCAAGTGCTATCACCAAAAAAAAGTACAGCTTTAAGAAAATAGTAATACTTCTTTGTTAAATAGAAAAGTGTGTGTGATTTGCATTGCTGACAGTATACTAAATGTGTTGTGTGGATGTCAGAGAATGACAAAATATCTTCTGATAGACAGGATCCTCCTGTAAGTCTGTTTTGTGGTCCTATATAACATATTTACCATTTGTCCCCATTCCCATCTCTGCAAATTATATCTCTCCAAATAGCAACCAAGCAACCAAGCGATCTATTTTGTTGAGTACATCTCTACAAGTCACTTGAGGCTCTCTAATGTCAATCCCATATGAGATGTCTCCCCAAAAGAGTGAACTGGGACATTTCTGGTATTCAGAATGAGTAAACCACACAATGCAGAGATACTTGTTATTTTCATCCATGTAAAATAAGGCCTTTTTATTCAGAAAAGATGAATCTGCTAACAAGAATACTGTTTCGGACAAGATATATCTTTTCTATTTGAATTAAAATTTACAGAGAGTTTGAATGTACCCAGTTAAAAACCGACCAAAAAACCAAAACCCCTACATCTTTTGTGGTTCTAAAGAAGGTACCACTTTCATATGTCATATTTGTAATTATTAACTTTTATAAAAATTATTCAGAATTGAAAATTCTTCATTCTATTATCTTCTTACCATCAGACAAACAAAAGGCCTATAGTCAGGTACCTGAGCACCAAGCATGCATCCAGCTTTGAGGAATGACTATGTAAAAAGGTCACCAGTGGCAGTGCTTCTTAGCCTGCCACATTTCCAGAACTTCCAGAACTGCTTACTTTGCACCATTCTCCATATTTTTTGCTTTCCCTGTGTTTTACCAGATGTCGTGCTGCTGGTAGTATGAAGGGTCTTTCAATGGGACTCAAAGTCTTCAAACATCATTGAGGTGGTGTTGAAGCCTAAGATTTTCTTTGAGTAG